CCAGTCATCGGGCACCTGACCGGCGGGAGAGGCAATCATGGCAAATCACACAGGGGCTTTCTTATCTAGATTTATTGCAAAACAAGTGGGCTGGAAGCTCAGCACCTCCTGCTGAGGGGCCAGGCCAGCAGGTCACCAGGTGCTTCTCCGCAGTGCTTGGGGTGGCCTGGCTTCCTTGCCTGGTGACGAGGCACAGGGCGCTGCTCTGATGTTTCGCTTGATTGCTAGAGCACGACCCATGCCTCTGGAAAGGGGCGAACCCTCTGCTGTACAGGTGTATGTTACCTGAGAGGCTGAGCTCGGAGCCTCCGTCATGCAGGATGGCACCAGGCTGCCCAGTCACTGTGGGTACCTCCTGCCCGTGGTGGTGCCAGGGCTGCCCTGCAGATGCAGCCCCATGCCCTGAGGCGCAGCACGCGCTTGCTGCCAGGCTGTGAGCACTGTCACAGCATTGGCGGAGGCACGGTGCCCACCCGCTGCACTCGGGTGAGGAATTAGGCTGCTGCTGCAGCCCTCTGCCATCCTGTGGCTGGTTTGTGCTGCAGTACAGGTGGACACTTGGTTCTTGTAAACCCAGTTGGTCTTGACTCCCTGGCAAGATAGCAAGCCTGAATCCTTCCCCAGCAGCTGTGCCCATCACAGCAGTTCCAGAAGACTGCAGAAGACAGAGCTGTGGAAGACTCAAGTATCAGGAGCCCCACACGACAAACCCTGGTAGCATTGCCAGCCCAGCCTGATCCAAAGGTGTTGGGGGGTAGTTTGGTTATGGATACCCACCATATTTGTCAGAGTGCCTGGAGGCAAAATACTGTCACTGGGCAGGTACAGCATCTATATACATGCACACACAGAGCAGGGTTGACTTACAGCCCAGGCACTGCAGTTGTCTCAGCAGGGCATCAATCCCAAAATGTGTCTGTATTCTCCATCCCCATCCTGGGACCAATGCCTGTCTCTGTGCTGCACCCACATAGAAGCAACATCCCAGTCTGAAGGGACTAGAAATCCTGGACACAGTTAACAGCTGGAGTGTGTCTGCACCTGTGTGTAGAGCTACTGTTCTGCCAGGCCAGGAACAGCAGCATGGAGTCCTGGTGATCTCTCTGGCATATCTTGCTCTCTCCATGGCCTCTCAGAGGCTGGGGAGATTGCTCATCATGCTGGAGTTGCTGGAGAGAGGTGCTCTAGGCCGGGAATTCAGTGCTGCAGAGCTGCGGAAGCTCTCCCGGTAGCGCAGGGAGCTCTCTGTGGATGAGCCAGAGTTGATGTCTGTGATGACCAAGCAGTTCCCAGGCTTGCAAAGCCCAACCCTGACACAGCAGCAGCACAGCAGGCTTCCCACAGCACGGCGCACCTCCACACTCCGCAGGGAGTAAATGATGGGATTAATGCCTGAGTTAAGCATGGCCAGAGCCAGGGTCCAGTCCAGGCTGTGGAGGTGCATGCAGGACTGGGTTTCACAGAAGACATCAAAGAGCAACAGGACAAAGAGAGGGCTCCAGCAGATGATGAAGGCACCCAGGATCATCAGAACAGTCTTGAGCAAGCGAAAGGACCGTTTGCGGCTGTGCCGAGAGCTGGTTTGTTTAGAACTGGCTTGGACCAGCTGGAAGATTGAAATGTAGAGGCCAATGATCCCCAGAAGGATGATGCTGAACATGACTACGGAGAAAAGGATGTAGGTTTTGGAGTAGAGAGGCAGGAGGACAGAGCAGGCATTGAAGTCACACAGACAGTTCCAGCCCAGCAGAGGAAGCAGTCCAATGATGAAGGCCAAGAGCCAGCAGGAAATTATCAGGCCACGTAAGCGCAGGGTCTTGCTGGCTTCATTCTCAGCAATTGGCCTTACCATGGCACTGTAGCGCTCAATGGCTGTCACAAGCAAGCTGAAGGTGGAGGCAGCCAGCGCGATGAAGAGGATGCCTTCTCGCAGGAACCAGAGCTGAGGTGAAAGCTGGAAGGTCTTCTTGCCTGAGAGGCAGAGATTAGAAAGGTAGGCAATTCCTGCAAGCAGGTCACTCAAGGTAATGCTGGCAATGCAGGAGTAGACCCAGCGGCGGGCTCGCAGACACCTTAGGACAGCCAGCAGCACAAGCAGATTCTCCAGGATGATGACGCAGCTGATGATGGCAAAGGTTGTGCGGATGAGACCCATGCCTTCATCCCCAGACTGCCGGTTGGTCAGTTTGCCTGTGAAGTTGTAGTGCTGCAGGATGATGTTCACATTCCTTATGGCAGCCAGATGCAGGCAGGAACCTTTCCTGTCGAGCAAGTCAAGTCTGAGCTCAGGATATTGAGCAGAACCCAGTGGATGGGAAAGGGAGTGATTCACCATCCAGCTCAGCTCTGGACCACCCATCTTCTGAGCCTTGGTCAGCAGCCAAGGGATGCACGATGGACCAAGAGTTGATGTGGGGTTTGGAGCACAGCAGACCCTCTGTTTGTGGGCTGGAGACAGCTGTGAGACTGCCACACAGGACTGGTTCTGATCCCAGCAGCCCTATCCAGCGTGGAGATGAGACTTAGAGCCCTGTATGCCAGCCCCACAGTACTGAAAGAACAAAGGGAGAGGAAGGTGAGGCGTTTTGTAAGTCCACGTATGAGCATGGGCTTCCTGTTGTTTAATAAAGTTTCCTGTTGTGAGCTGGAGTATTGACATCGTTTCTAAAAACTCTCACCACTTCTCAGTAAGGGTCTTGGCTTTGCTGTGATTGGGAAGGTGAGACATGAATAAAATAATGTGTCGGGCCCCTTTTGGAGTCAGGGCAGGTTAGGTCAAACGGGGTAGCACCTCACATCTTGATGGTCAGCTGGGCTGAACAAAGCCAAGTGCAATTAAGAGCGCCCAGATGGCCTGAGACACTGAGTGCTTTGCCTTTTGTGGCATTAAATTCACCCCTGAGCTTGGCAGAGAGCAGCAGCCTCTTTATTAACTGCCCTGTGCACTACCCATGCCTGGACACACCCTTCTCCAGGAGGAAACTTCATGCTCTCACCCCTCTGGGCTCCTCCATGAGCCCTGCTCCTACATCTCTTCCAGGACACTTCAAAGTCCTGACCTGTCAATGCAGCAAGTCCAGGCACCTCTGTGTCTGGAGCTAGGGTTGAGCTCCACCCAGTTCAAAGGAAAACAGATGGTCAAAGGCCCACCTGTCCTGACACTGCACCCTCCACCTTCAGTTCTACAAGCACCTGACCCAAGATCCTGGGTCAGGATCTTCCCATTGTCTAGGTCACAGACAGGGAAACATAGGTACAAAGCTACTGCCTCTTGCCTGGCATTGCAGAAGGCACAAGGCACAAGAAGCTGCATTGAGACCAGAATTCAGGAGTCCTGACACGACTGAAATGTTAATGTTTATCATTGACCTATTCCCTTCCTCTGAAAAACCTGACTGGAGACAAAATCGTGCAACTGCTGTTCCCAACCACGGCTGTGGACTTTGACTCACCTGTCATGCCGGGCCCAAGGCTCTTGCTGCAGGAGGGAGGTTCAGCAGTTAGCAGGTCTCTCCAGCTGCTTGTCTGAGGCCCAGGACTGAGTAGGTAGTGGGGAGGGTTCCTTGTGCAAAATAAATAAAATTTCTACCTACCAAAGTGGAAAAAGGGAAGTTACAACATCAACCACATTTCTGTGCAGGATGGACCCCACCCAAAACAGCTGCAAAGTGGCACAGAGAAAATAAAGGCAGAGCACCTTTTAACTCAGCATTGGAGCAGCTGTGCGCTGCTTTCTGGTTTCACCTGTGTTCTCATGGCAGGCTGGCACAAAGCCATGTAATAGTCCCAAGTTGAGAGCAAAGAGCAGTGATTTCTTCCATCTGCACGGCAAGGAGAGAGTTGTCCTGGAAGTCCATTCACTGCTTGATGAGTGAAAAGATTCTAGCCTGGATCACAGCATAGACAAGTGGAAACTGCCAAGGAGGTTTCTGCTGCAAGAGTGGTCCTCATCAAAAGCTACTCCATCCTCCACATTTACCCTTCCAACTGGTGTTTTGGGCTTTTCTGACAGCAGTGTGGAAAGAAACTCATACTGATAGTAGATGACCCCAAGACCGAAGGAGCAGAAATCAGCAGAAAGGGTGGGCCATGAGTGCAGATCAATCCAGAGAGGAGGTCTGCAAGGTTGCACATTGAGCACAAAGAGCACAATCCCAAATGAGCTGGGCAGATGCTCCCGGCATAGCACGGGCATCAAAGTGTCAATGTGATACTTGCACACTGCCTCTGCTTTATTCTTTCTTCAGGCTGAGCCTCCAGCTAATATGTCTGCTCTGGACAGAACTGGTGGATCACCCTATGAGATCAAAGGATGAAGAAACTTGCCTTGTCAGGGGCCCAGAGTAGCTTCTCAAATAGCTGGCAGCATGTAAGCAGTCTCAGGAAAGAGATACCTGACAGGAATGAGCTTTTTGTCCAGGAGATCTGCAGAGAGTGCAAGACGGGTGGGAGGCAAACGCTTTTGATGGCAAGAATGTTTGAAGCAGATGAACAGCTGGGACAGCTCAACACAGTCACCCATTGGGTGCCAGGTCCTCTGAACCAGCAAAATAATGTAGACTCTTCCTAATGCCCCTTCCACAAGCACATCAGGTGCTGCCTAAAAGGCAGGGGTGATTATTTTGTCAAGAACAGTTCCAGTGAGTCAAAGTTTTGTTCCTTGCTCTGTGCTAGCCCCTGGCTTGTCTGACCTTCTCCTAGCAGCAGGGTCTGGGTACCTGTGAGGCCCATTGCAGCTTCACAGCATGTACTGGGGGGGCTGGCTCTGGGATTGTGCACGAGCTGTGTCCCAGCCCTTGCTGCTGTCCTTCCAGCACCTTCTCAGTTCTGCCCAGCAGCCTGCCAAGCTCCCTGCACGTCCAAACCATCCCCCCACCTCTTCCCCCCAACCACTTCTTGCATCTCATGGTAAGTCAGGGTGCAGTCCCATAGCCCAGGGTACTGTGGGGACTCATGTCCCCTCCACTCCATGCAGTCAGCTCAGCAGAGCAGGGCCTCACGTCGCCCTCAGAGCTGCTGCCACCAGACCCGAGGCAGGGAGTCCTGAGTTCCATGGCTGGGGGCAGCCAAGACTGCCCCTCAGCTGGGTACCCACACAAGGGAGAGTTCCTGTTGTTCTGCAGCAACTCCCCATTGCTATCTGCACAGACACATGCTGAGCTTTATCTTGGTACTTCTCCTTTGCTACTGTTTCAGTTCAGATGCTCTTTGAAATGAAGGGGAGCAGGAGAGGGGCACCCCATCCTGCAATATTTCTCTACTCTTTCCTTCAGATCAAGACCACAATCTACTTTAAACTGCCTAATAGCTGCTGAGTGCTGGGCTTGGAAGGATCAGGGGAGGTATGAAGACCAGCTGCAGCCCCCTGAACCCTCTTGTCAGAGCTGTGGCCATAGCAGCTGTTCACAGATGCTGAGATATGGCACCTTAGCAGCAGAAGCCTTGGAACCCTCCCAGCCCATTCCCGTCAAGGCCAACAGAAAGGCAACAGCACCTTGGCCCCAGAGTTTGTCTGCAGTCAGGGAGGCCCAGAGAGAGCAGGGAAGGAGCAGCCTGGAGCCGAGCTTTGTGATCAGCCTGGTAACTCCTGCCCTGAGATCGTCCAGCTCCAAACAGTGAGGGGCCATGAGCAGTAAAAAAACAGCAGGATACAAATGTAAGATAAAATATCTATGATATCTGTTGAGGTTTTCCTGCTGTGCTGCTGCACAGTCCTGATTAAAATTTGTACTTTCAGACATTCTGATTAAAAAAAAAATCCCTGGGTGAAGCTTTGTGGAGAGCTCTGCCTGGTGGGCTTAGTCAGGCAATGCCCAGGCTGGCTCAAGGACATCAGGCATCTCTGTCCCAAAGGCTCCTTGCCCACCTCCCCATCCTGTCCCCCCTGTGTGGCCCCAGCACAACCCAACATCAGCCAAGGCATCCATTTACCCACAGGTGTTTTTCTGCTCCAGGAAGGGTGGAGTTGTGCTGGTTTGAAAATGACTGATCGCTCGTGGCAGTTGGTTGGTTACATTTCCTAGCTTTGGTCTCTTCTAGTGTGCAGCAGCAAGCGGTCATCTTTCTAGTGGCACATGCCAGTTCCCAGTGTGGTAGGATGCTTCTAACCCCAGGGAAGCTGGGAGAGGCAGCACGACCCCTCTGACTTGGTCTCACATCAAACCCTGGAGACATGGCCCTTAACAGTGCTCGAAGAATCATACCAGGTACAGTTGTTGTGCCTGGGTGTCACGTCATTGAAATTGGGTGGTGGCAATGATTGCTGTAGGAGATGATTCCTGCAGTGCATCTCTGGATTTGAAGGAAAATAGGAACAAGAAAGATACAGTTTCAGAATCATCTCATTTAGACCACATTAGTGGCCTCAAATAGCAAACTTTTGTTGATTTTTTTTTCCTTTAAGTGGCTTTTCTCTAGAAACTTGTATTTCCTCAGTGCAAAAACATTAAGCAGAAAGCAAACAGCTTAATAAAGTGCCCCTGCCCACCATCCCCAAAAAAGAGAATTGCTTGGAAACTATCCCATTAACTTCCCCATATCTCAGTCCCAGTATCTACACGGTGTTCCCACCACTCCCGCTCAGTGCAGCATGGCCAGCCAAGGCCATGAGGCTGCTCCAGAGACCTGGAGCCTCTGGTCATCATGGCCTCTGTGCATGACCCATAAAATCCCCCCATGTGAGCTGCTGCCTTGCACCCTCTGGGGCAGAGCCTAGCTCAGTGCTAGACTCGTCCCCACAGGGCCACAGTTGAGAGCAGTTTCTTCCTGTGTTCATGCAGGCATGGCAGGGAGGAACAAGTCCTCGCCCAGGAAACAGGCCAGGAGGGCTCAGCCTGCAGAGCAGGGCGAAGCCTGCTTGCTGGGAAGCCAGCAGGGGTGTGGTGCCAAGCAGCACAGAGGAAACACGGGGGTTAGAGACCTGACCTGAGCACTGCAGAGGAAGGACAAGCAGCACACGTCCCTGTGGTTAGTGCTGCCTGGCTGGGGCAGGGACCATGCACTCACTGCCAGCAGGATTGGTGCTGCTGCACTGTGTCTGGAGAGCACAAAATTATCCCAAGTTCTGCTGCTTACTATCCTGTGCATCACTTCCTCCACCTGCTATTTTTCCTCCCTACCTGTTATACATAAGAATATTAAGCAATTTGGGGCAGAGAACTGCTGTCTGGTTCCTACTGTCAACAGCCAAGCCTGGCCTTGGACTGCTGACCTGCTGGCTGCAATGGAGCAATTCTTAGACTGCCCTGGGTGTCTGAGCCTGGAGCTCTTGGCTCAGCACCACTGGGATCAAGGAGAAAGCAAGAGCTTTGCTCAAGTTTACTGTCAGCACCAGAAGGCCAGGAAGGAATGAGAGCAGCAGGCTTGGTGCTCAGTTTAGCATTTAACCAAATCACACTTCTGCCAGGGGCAAGGTGAAGACAGCAGTTGCAGCCTGGATTGCAGGCAATTTCGGGCCAGGGAAAGGAGAGAACAGCATAGATGACGGCTTATCCTGTTCCCATTTGAGCAGATGTCCCAGTGGCCAGATCAGCTGCAAAGGGGAAACCATAGAGGGGAAAGAGTATCTGCAGTCATTGTGCTTGCCAACAAAGTATGAAGTGAGCTGACTACCCCCAGGAGCAGTTGGCATGAGCTGCTGAAGGTAGTCTGAGACAGCCTGACTGTCAGCACACAGAGACACTGCTGTTTGAAGCAGGTGGATGTGATTTGTCTGACAGCCAAACTGTGGGAGAAATACTAAATTACACCTCAAAAATACCCTAGGATGCCTCTCCCAGTCAGCATCCCTGAGGCTTTGGGACTGTGGCATACCATACTCTCTCTGCCCTGGCCTTTCTGTCCTTCTCTATCACTCATCAATCACAGCCTCAGGGCACATGGAGCATGTGAGCAGGCCAAGGCAGCAGAGATGCAGATAGAAGTGCAGGGATGCTGCACTGCCCTGATTAGCACAATCAGGCCATCACACACATTTCCTTGCTGCTGGGTACTGCTGATCCCAGGGTATAAAACCAGCCCTTGGGTACTAGGAGGCTCAGACTTCCACACATCTTGCAAGGAGTGTCCAGCTGTGGGAAGAGATGTGCCAGCTCCAGCCACTGCTGGCCCTGCTGCTCCTGCTTTCCTGCCCGTGGGCCAATGCCAGTAAGCTGGGCTGCCACAAACTGCTGCCAGGGAGGCTGCTGGTCTGGGCTCTGACCGCAGCAGCCACCGGCTTGTCCTGACATGCGGTGTCTTGCAGGTGCTCTTCAGGGACAGATTGTGGGGGGACACGAGGCTCAGCCCCACTCCCACCCTTACATGGCATACCTGAAGCTGGGGGTGTCAGCCTGCGGAGGCTTCCTGGTGGCCCCTGACTGGGTGATGACAGCTGCACACTGCCGTGTGGGGTGAGTATTTCCTACAGAGGCTTTAAAATCTCCTTCCTCCTGTAGCCTGTGAGGTCCATCACTGGAGTAATTTTGGAGTAGTTTCTTGTTCCTCCTGTGTTAAGCAGGTCTCTCCATGTGCCTGCAAAAGGGCAGGGAAGCAGATGAGACTTTTTAATGCCACGGTCATCCTGGGGGCTCACAACATCCATGAACCAGAAACGACCCAGCAGGTCCGGGGGGTTGTCAGATACCATCTTCACCCTCAATACGACCCTGAGACTGTGTCTAACGACATCATGCTGCTCAAGGCAAGGCAGTCCTACAGCGGGCAGTGGGTTGGAGGGTAGGGCAGGGCTGATGGGCCTAGCAGGGTCTGAGCAGAACACATGCTTGGTGTTAGCTCCTTCTGCAAACCATCAGCTTCTTCTAACCATGAATGCTGGAGGCAGGGAGGAATGGGAAAGGCCTGGGAGGGAACCATGGGCAGGGCTTGGAGCCACACACCCCATTCACAGCAGCTCACCAGAGCTTGCAGTGCTGTATGTCCTGCTAGACCTTCCCTACCTGTGCACAGTGTCTTTCAGCTGTCCTGCTCATAGCCTTCTCCAAAAACCTTGCTCCCAGCTGACAGCAAAGGCCACTCTCAATGACTATGTCAAGACCATTCCACTGCCCAAGAGCAGCAGTGACCTCCCCACAGGAACCAAGTGCAGCATAGCTGGCTGGGGTCTGATTGATGACGACCAGACGACCAACAAGCTCTTTGAAACCAAAGTCTCCATCTACAGCCGCAGGAAATGCATCCGCTTCTACCCACACCTCAACACAGGGATGGTCTGTGCCGGCAGCTTCCACGAGCTCAGGGATTCCAGCCAGGTATGGGCTGATGATGGGCTGGGGGCTTGGCTGTGGGGCAGCCTGGCTCCCTGGTAGCCAGGGCTGTGGCTGGCACAGAAGCTGATTCCCAGGAGAGGTGACAAACATTTGATTTGTAGCTCTCATGGGCTCACTCACTGGATGCCCTGACACCATGGTCCATGCATGGTCCCAGGGGTAGAACCCCAGCTTGCCTGCTCCTAGCAGCTCCTCCAGCTCAGTGGGCATGTGGGGCAGGAGCAGAGCTGTGGATCCAGAGCAGAGCACTGCTGCCAGTGCCAGACAGGGAGTGACCAAGTTGAAACCTGTTCCTGAAACCAGTCTCTCATCTGTCCTCAGGGAGATTCTGGTGGGCCCCTGGTATGCAATAAGGTGGCACAAGGTATTGTTTCCTTCGGGTACAGCACCCCACCTGGGGTCTATACCCGCATCTCCAACTACCTGCCCTGGATCCAAAAAATCATGAAGAAGTAGCAGCAGCAACACTCACTCCAGCATTGGTGTGGTCCTGGAGACTGCACTGGTTTCTTTCCTGCCCCTGCTGAAGGCTTGACTCCCTCCTCTCTCCTTGGGAGCCTGAGTGACCGGATTGGTGCACACTAGGGTCCCCCCCTTTCTGTTCTGAGGCCGCTGGCTGTCCCAGTCCCTGCCCATCTCAGTCAGCCAGCTCAGGGCCATGTTAAATCACCCTGGCAAAAGCCAGGGTTATTCCCAATGGCATGAGAAATCAGCTGTGCTACGATGAACCTGTTTCCTTCAGAGAGAGCCCTGTCCCTACTTGAACCTTGCTGCACTTAAAAAACCCAGAGTAAAATCAGAGCTGCATTTCCCAGAATATGTCTTCTGTCTTGTACCTTGCTCCGGGGAGAAGGGAGGGAGGGCCTCACAGGTGACAGTGAGAGGACAGCCTCTTGGGACAGCAGAATAGTTCTGCATCCATGGAATTACTGGCAGACACGGAGGGCAAGCTACAGTTGCCCATCCTGGGGTCAGAGGAATGAGTGTGTTTCAGGAAGAGAAACTTCCAAGGTAGAAATGGGCTGGGAAAAGTGATGTGCACACACTCCATTCACCAACTTCAGCCAGCTGGGAGCAGTTGCCAGACAGGATGTGGTGTGTCCCCAGGTACCAAGAGACAAGTCCTGCCATTTCCTGCGAAGTAATGACTGTCCCCTCTGCAGGGACCTCATGCCTGGATGCTGTTGCACCCTAGGGCATAGGGCAGCCAAGACAGGAGGCTGGGTCACAGGGAAAGCCCAATGGGGAATTTCAAACATACAGAAACTGCGTGCAATTCAAGGAACAGGATGCTTACCTTGTTCTCACAGTCAAAGGGAAAAGATGGCCTGCAGTCTGCCCCAGGATGCCTGCTCTTACATTCTTCCTGTTCTTGCCTGAGATGAAGGGAAGCATCACCTTTGCCTTCAGCACCTGTGCCACCCTGGGAAAACTGAGAAGGGTCTATGATTGGGCTTCTGCAAACAGCTGCTATCAGCTAGGAAATCTGCAAGTGAGAAGCCTGCAACTTCTTATCTGTGTCATACAAATCTTCATCACGAAGGGCTTTCCTTGAAGCTCCAACTGCTGCGGTCTTTGCATGAGAATTACAGCTTTTCTCTTAGAAGTGGGTTTTCCCTGTGGCACTGGGGGAAATTTACTGGCAGTCAGTGAGATCAGCAACTGTCACCCCATTTCATCACAGCCCGAGGAAGGAGCCACTACCAGGGCGAGTGCACAGACCTGCCCATCATCCACCTTTGGCTGAAGCCTGAGCAGTGGAGCCAGTGGGGAAGCAAGGGGATATCCTGGGGGGAGTGTGCTCAGTGATTTGCCACCAGCTCTTCCTGCAGCACAGTCCCTCTCATCATGGGCTGGAGGAGGTGCAGCTGCTGCAGAGCCTGGTCCAGGGAAGGCAGATCCCTGCCATGCACTGCAGGAAGGCACATGGCGCTTGTTTGAGATTTTAAAATCACTGCCTGCAAGAGCTGTGATGTGCTTGGCCATCCACCTTCCCAGAGGAACAAGACCAGCTTCAGGGAGACATGTCACTGGGTTATCTCTAGCCAATAAAGGGTCAGAATCCCAACCTACATCCCTGTCTCCATCCTCCCTCAACTCAAAAAGTGAGCCCTTGAGCCAGAGTCAAGGAAGTGGCCTCCTGTCTTCTCTCACACTGACTGGTAAGAGACAGCAAACTCCTCAGTTTTATAGTGAACAATTGCATCTGGAAAGAAACACTTAAAATGGCATCTTTTGCTGTACAAAGCAGAGCCTTAAGGTAGCAGCTGATGCAGAAGAGAGACCTTGTGGCAGTAGTGATGCTGCTGTGGGCCATGCTCATCAAGCTATCGTAACAACTTCTTGCCCTCACATAGCTATGACCAGTGTGTGGTGTTGTAAATGCACTCACACCAGTTTTCCTTCCTTAAGAAGGATCACACTTCCTGAGAGAGAGCAGGAGGGTCCTCAGCTGCCACTGCACAGTCTTTTGAACTGGTACATCATGTGAAAGAAATCTTGTTCTTGCAGGGTTCATGATAAAAATCAAAAGAGTTTGCAAATGCACAACAACAAACATGAGCTGCAAGGGAAGAGCACACTGGCAGGCAAAGTGATGAGGATGGGTATGCTCCCTACAGCTTCCAGCTCAAAGGCAATGGGTTAAAATTGGCTCTGGGTTTAAGAGGGTGTGAGATACACCAAGATCAGGCCCAAGATGAAGGTGGGTTGATGCCCAAGGCTAAGACTGACTGAATTCCCCTCACAGCTTGCTGAGACATGCAATTTGCAGATAGATTAATCAGATGAGTTTGACTTCTGTGGTTTCCTGGAGTCTAGTCTCAGGCTATAAAACCTTGCTGGGAGCAGGAAGAGACCCCAGCTGCAGCCTTACCTCCAGGGCACCCACTGAAGCTGAGAACGCTATGATGAAGCACCTGCAGAACCTCCTGCTTGCCCTCCTGCTAGTGACATGTCCCCCAGCTACAGCCAGTAAGTAGAGTGGCCTGGAGGTGAGGAGAAGGCTGGGGAAGGAAGAGTCCCAGGAGGCATGTCCTGTGCCCTCCAGTTCCCTCATCCTCAGTCCCATCCATTGCAGATCGTTTCTGGAATTGGATGGAGGGAGGAGGGGGAGACCACTCCACACCCTACATGGCCTATCTGCAAGGAGAGAACCATCATTTCTGCGGAGGTTTCCTAGTGGCCCCGAACTGGGTGATGACAGCAGCTCATTGCGGCAAGTAAGTTTCTGCTACATTCAGATGGCACCTGGTGCAACCAGATGGTTGTGCTGCCTGGATCCAGGTGGCAACTCCTAAGGGAGGTCTGACAAATTGAGTCACTTCCTTCATGGCTCCTTCCCTAGCAGGGAGTGCAGGCTGCCCTGCTGGGGCCAGGCTGTGGGGGCTACCTCTGGAAACACAGGGCTGTGCCTGCAGCTCTCCCTTGAGCCATCCTTCACCATCTCTTTCCCCAGCCCATGTTCAGATACTTACCTTTATTTTTTTATTCCTCCTCTATGATTCATTTTATTCTTCCCAGACATCAATAATGGGAAGTCAGAACAGCTTCTTCCCCGCTGTCACTGACCTGCTGGTATAGGAGGGGTTGCTGGTGTCAGGCTTCATCCTTTCTGCCACCAAAGACCTCCAAGACTGCTATCAGAATTAATCATCTCTTATGAGCAAGCTGCTTGCCCAGCTCTCTTCCATCTCTCCACCTGGAGAAACTGAGGCATGGACAGGCAAGAGGGCTTTTCTAGATACACATGACTTGGGGTGACAGCTCTGCCCTGGTGCCAGTAACCCAGGCTCCAGGGCCAATCCCCCCACATTTAAGCAGCAACAAGAGGATCAGCAGAATCCAGGAGACCAGATACCCAAATCCAACCTGCTAGATTGGAAGGGTCTCCTACCCATACCCAGGGTCCCTCACAATTTTCCTAAGGCAGATGTTTCTGCAGATGCTGTAGAGGCCAGTAAAGGTACATTGGCCCAGAGCAGGGTCCTGTGCCACGGGCAGGAGAAAGCTAATAACATACATTGGGCTTGATTTTACCAGACACAAACCTCTGATTGTCATCCTTGGAGCCCACACAATTCAGAGGAGAGAGAAAAGCTGGCAAACATTCGAAGTCCTAGAGTATCACATCAACCCGGGCTTCACACGTCCTGAAAAGGGAAATGACATCCTC